TGGTGGACCTGGAGCCGGGCACCATGGACTCCGTGCGCTCGGGGCCCTTCGGGCAGATATTTAGACCTGACAACTTTGTTTTCGGTGAGTGCCGGTGGAACACAAAGGTCAAGGGGCTGCACCTGAAGGTCATTACTTGTGGACCTAGTAGCTGGGAGCCCAGGGAGTATTTTTTCTGGACTCTGACTCACTCAATCCACTTGGCTAAAGCGGCTTTGGGGAGGAGGCCCAGCTGTCTGCCTACAGGCAAGGAGAGGTAGATATAATCTCTTTGCAGTCTCCACGGAGACCCTGGTTGTTTTTGTCCTTGGGAATTGGCAGAGGTTTGTTAAACTGCCTTCTGTGCATCGCTGTGGGGTCCTTTTGCCCTAGTTGTGGGGTTGGTTGCACAGGTGTTGGTTGCCATGTGTTTTGTGGCTGGAGTGTAACCAGTCATGCTATCTTACAGGTCAGAGTGGCGCTGGGAACAACTGGGCCAAGGGGCACTACACAGAAGGTGCAGAGCTGGTGGACTCGGTGCTGGATGTTGTGAGGAAGGAAGCCGAGAGCTGCGACTGCCTCCAGGGTTTCCAGTTGACCCACTCCCTGGGTGGGGGGACTGGGTCTGGGATGGGCACCCTCCTCATCAGCAAGATCCGGGAAGAGTACCCAGACCGGATCATGAACACGTTCAGTGTGGTACCCTCACCCAAAGTGTCGGACACCGTGGTTGAGCCTTACAACGCCACCCTCTCAGTCCACCAGCTTGTAGAAAACACAGATGAAACCTATTGCATTGATAACGAAGCTTTGTATGACATTTGCTTCAGAACCTTAAAGCTCACCACACCCACCTATGGTGACCTGAACCACCTGGTGTCGGCCACCATGAGTGGGGTGACCACCTGCCTGCGCTTCCCTGGCCAGCTCAACGCTGACCTGCGGAAGCTGGCAGTGAACATGGTGCCCTTCCCGCGCCTGCACTTCTTCATGCCTGGCTTTGCCCCCCTGACCAGTCGTGGCAGCCAGCAGTACCGCGCCCTGACGGTTCCTGAGCTCACCCAGCAGATGTTTGATGCCAAGAACATGATGGCTGCCTGTGACCCCCGCCACGGCCGCTACCTGACAGTGGCTGCAGTGTTCAGGGGCCGCATGTCCATGAAAGAGGTGGATGAACAGATGCTTAACGTCCAAAACAAGAACAGCAGCTATTTTGTTGAGTGGATCCCCAACAACGTGAAGACGGCTGTGTGTGACATCCCACCCCGTGGCCTGAAAATGTCTGCCACCTTCATTGGCAACAGCACAGCCATCCAGGAGCTGTTCAAGCGCATCTCAGAGCAGTTCACGGCCATGTTCCGGCGCAAGGCCTTCCTGCACTGGTACACGGGCGAGGGCATGGATGAGATGGAGTTCACTGAGGCTGAGAGCAACATGAATGACCTGGTGTCCGAGTACCAGCAGTACCAGGATGCCACGGCTGAGGAGGAGGGAGAGTTTGAGGAGGAGGCTGAGGAGGAGGTGGCCTAGAGCTGTTAGCTGGTGAAGTGTGGAAGCGGTGTGAACTCTTTATTCACTCACAGTCTGCTCTGATAACCCTGTCCCACTGTGTGCACTGTTGTCTCTGTCTTGATATCACATCCTGTACAGATACCATTAAAGCATTTTCATAGTGTGTGCTTTCGCCTCTCGAGTTCCTTCCGATAGGCCTTGCGAGTGCTGTTGCCAAACGTCATTGCGTAGTTGTCTTGCATGGCTGCGAGGGAGCAAGGCTTCAGCGGAGCCGGGCCTCCCTGTGCCAGGCCCAACATGCAGGTAACTGCAGGGGTCCTCAGGAGTTTGGGGCAGCCCTGGGTCTTAAGCCTCATCTGTCTGGGGAGGAGCCTGTGCCCGGGAGGCAAAAGACCAGATGGCCCATCTTGAGATTCACAGGAGTGCTTGGTACTGGGAGGAGCTGGGCAGTCCTACTCTGGGTCTGGAGACAATGGCCTGTGGCGCAGGGTGTGGGGGGGTAGGCCTTCAGCAGCCTGCTGTCCCCACAGGAAGCCATACGTACAGGGAATGAAGCCCATGTAGAAAGGGATGAGCCCCTGGCCTCTGTAGATGGTGGTATTGGGCCAGTGTGTCCTGGGAAGCCTCTCCCCCAGTGGACAGACGGGGTTTCTGGACTGGAACTGAAGAAGTAGTTGTTGAGTGCTGCCTTGCCCAAACCCTCCACCACCTGGTGACCCCCCCCCCCACCAACCAAGAGGGCGGGCTGACATTCCCTGGGAAAAGGGACTGTCACAGGTGCCCTGAAGGCTCAGGGCAGGCACCAGGCCCCCTCAGGCTTTGTGCAGCGGCCACACGCGGAGGCCTACTGTCTGGCCTGCTTCAGAACCACCTGCCGGAGCCCTGGGTGCAGGCCCTGGTTGACACTGTCCTACCTGGTTCTTGTCAAACTCCTCCATGGCCTGTGTGACTCCTTCACGGTAATTCATCCCCATAACCCAGGTGAAGCGGGGGATGAAGCCAGCATAGCCTGGGAGAGTTCGTGTCAGTGTACCCCAGGACCCCTGGGCAAACCCACCTGCTCCCAGATGTGCCAGGGAGCCCATCTCCTTCCTTTCCTTACGATGGTGCTGGTCTTGAGACCAGGAGACGGGTAGGGTGAAGGTGGGCCAGGAAGGACCAGTCTGTTCCCATTGTGGGAAAGGGCTGCTCTGTGCCTGCCACCCTTTTGCTGGGCCCCTGGAACCCCATGCGGGATGCACCTGAGATGGCTTTTCTTTGGATCAGGTTGGGGTGGTCCAGTTGGGGTAGCCGCTGGAACCTGTCCAAGTCTAGTGTCTCCAGCTGGAGGTGTGGGGTAGGGTACTCATCCCTCCTGTAGTGGTACAGCTGCGGGAGGAGGGGTGAGTCGCAGCTCAGCCCCCACCTGGGTGGAGTGAGGCCCAGGCCAGTGTGTCTCTACTTACCTGGTGCTGCCCTGGGGTCTCATGGACAAGGTTAGCAGATTTCCAGGCCTCTTCCCCATATGCCAGTCGCAGGCCCGGGTGTACCACGGCACTGGAGTCCCCCTTCCTGCCAGGCGGGCATGGTGGGTAGGGGGGATAGGGCATGAAGCCAGCTGGCATCGTAACTTGTTTGCATATGTTCTCTGCTCCTAGTGGCCCCTGGGCGTCCACGACCTGTGGTGGCAGCTTGCCCAGGATCTCAGAGTTCCTATAGGGCTTCAGACCTACGCAAACAGGTGTGGGTGACCATGTGGGCAGGAGGGCGGGCTGAAGAGGGCCAGCCCAGGAAGAGGCAGCTCACCGGTGTAGTGGGGGATGTGGGGCTCAGCCAGGTCCCGGCAAGGAATCCAAGGGGGCTTGGACTTGCTGAAGTCCTCGATGAATTTGGGCTTGGTCATGGGGGACAGCACAGAGCAGGGGCTCTTCTGCACGCTGGGGTCTGTGAGCAGCTGCGCCGTGGTGCGCCCGTAGGTGTTCCCCACCTGGTATCGCAGCTGTGGGTAGAAGCCAGCATAGCTGCGGGAAGAGGAGAGGAAGACGAGGGCAGCACCCTGGGAGCAGGATGCCAGCCCAGCTTGCCTACCATGTCGCTGCTGTGTAAGGTAGGGCATTGCCCCTGACCTCTGCTTAGATGAAATGGGGCAGCGCCTGCCCCGCCATGATCGTGCACCTGGCCCAGAGAAGAGCTACAGTAGCGTCGCCACCTGGATGGTCACCACCTGTGCTTCACTGTCCTCTGCGCCTCACCTCCCTCGCTTACTCCGAGGCCCAAGAAGAAATGGAGCTCTTCCCCATGAAAGTCAGCACAAGGACTGATTCATCTTCTGGGGAGCGGCTGTGTAGCCACCCTCCAGAGGGTGAACTGTCTTTGGAGACAGCTGGCCCCGAACTCCTGGACTCTAGTGATCCTGGGCAAGCTGCCACCGCAGGTGGTGGACACCCAGAGGCCACTAGGAACAGAGAACGTGTCCAGACAAGTTACAACGCCAGTCCTCGCTGCTCAGCCTCGAGTAGCTAGAACTGTAGGTGCGCACCACTGCGCCCAGCTGGAATTGTTTTCTCTTTTTCCTTTCTGTCTTTTCTTCTTTGCCTCCCCTCTCCTCCTCTCCTCGCTTCCTCCAGCTTTGTTCTTTTGTGGTACCAGGGAGCAAGCCAGGGCCCCCACTTGCTAGGCAAGAACTATGCTCTTGGAACTATACCTCATTTATCTATGCTTGGGTTCTGTTTTTTTGTTGTTTTTTTTTTTTTTTTTAGAACCGGGGGTTGAACTCAGGCCCTTGTGCTTGCCAGGCAAACACTTATTCTACTGAGCTATCTCCCCAGCCCACTTGGGGTTTTTTTTGAGGCAGGGTCTTGGTATGTAGTTCAGACTGGTTGCTGGCCTAGAACTCAGAGCAGTCCTTCTGCCTTAGCCTATGAGGTGCTGTGTTTACCGGTGTGTGCCACCACTCCCACCTTAGCTTTTATTTTGAGACAGATTTCAAGGTATTAAATGGCCTAAAATGGCCTTAAATTTGCAATCCTGCTTCAGCCTCCCAGAATGCTGGGATTATAGGTATGCCCCACCATGTCTAGCTCTGAATTGTCCTTTTTAAAACTTGCCTGGAGCAAGGTGTGGTAATGAATTCCTATAATCCCTGCATTTAGGAGGCTGAGACAGGGATTGCTGCAAATTCAAAGCCAGTATGGGCTACAGAGTGAGTTCAAGGCCAGCCTGAACTACATAGTGGAAACTCTGTCTCAAAAAGGTAAATAACTGCTTAAGCAGAGGGGTTCAATCTCTGAGTGCCTGCCGGCCCCACCCACCCCACCCACCCCACCCAGGGTGTGCTGAAACTGCAATTGAGACTGGGTGTAGTGGCACGTGCCTGTAATCCCAGTGCTTAGGAGGCTGAAAACAGAAGGATCACTATGAGTCAACCTGTGTAGTGAGACCCTGTACTAAAAATGAAAAAAAAAAAAAAAAAAAAAAACCTGCCTCGACTAACAGTGCAGCTCAGTGGTAGACATTTCCCTCGTGTGTGCCAGGCCCTGGGTTCTACTCCCAGCACCAGGGGAAAGAAGCTGACCAAGGCCGGGACGGGCCGGCTATGAAGGCTGAGGGTCGGTCTCAGTGTTAGTGGCCCTAACTTCCCAGGCCCTCACATCTGGTCCCTGTCTTCTGTACCCATGTGGCCCCACACCCCACGGAGCCTTCTGCTCACTGGGGGGACCCAGGGAGGCGGCCGCCCTGAGCTTCTCTGACTCAGGCAGCTCTTTTCTCCACCAGCCTCTGCCAGCTGTTCACCTGTCCCGGCTCTGCTCCTGATGGATGTGCTGGTCACCTGGCCTGGCATTTGAACTGGGTAGAGGGTAAGGCTGGCATCTTTGCTGTCCAGAGTTTTGCAGCCTTCAGGAAGCCTCAGTTCCCACTCCCCAGGGACCCTAATCTCCCATCTCCTCAGCTGTGGCCTCACCCCTTGACCCAGCTTCCGCGAGGGAAGGGGCTCCTAGCTCTTACCCAGGGATATAGTGAGGTTCTGGCGTGAAGAGCGAATGTTTCAGAGGAGCTGTCATTGTGCCTCAGTCTGCCCTCACAGGCTGGGTCTCTTCTCTCTGAGAGGAGTCATGTTGCCTGGCAACCATTGTGAAAGGGCCAGGCCACTTTAACCTGTGATGTCTCACAAGTACAACCCTGAGCAAGGGAGCTCCACCCACCTCAGAGCTCCAAAAAGGGACAGGAGGACCTGGCTTCCTTGTTCCCCACAGGCCCCAGGCCCCAAATGAGCAGCAGTGTACCCCATGAAGAGGTCGTGGCTGCCTCACTCCCCTCCCTCATGGGGCCTGGGGTTTCCCAGCTGGACATCTGTGTAGGCCTTACCTTGAGCAGGGCGGAGGTCAATCCGAATGCCGTGAATGCCCACATACAAGAAAATCCGTTACGGCAGAAGACACACCGGAACCATCCCCCTCCATAACCCCACTGGACACACAGCAACCCTTGCCACCTTTTTCTTCATAATTGGTCTCCCTATAGTTTAGGCTGGCCTCGAACTCGGTGATCCTAGTGATTCAGCCTCCCTAGTGCTAGCATTACAGGCGTGTGCAATCACACCCAGCTATGCTTGGCTTCCTACCACTTTCTTTTTCTTTTTGTGGAATCGGGGACTGAACTCAGGCCCTTGTGCTTGCCAGGTGAGCGCTTGTTCTACTGAGCCGTCGCCCAGCCCCTAGAGGACAAAACTGGCCCTGTTAAACACTGGGCTGCAGGGACCAGGGTGTGAGCCTCTTGTTTTAGCCTCCCAAGCACTGGGATTACAGGTACGTGCTACCACGCCCAGTCTCAATCCGCTCTCAGAGTACGTGGGGGACAGGTTTGATTTTTTTGTATTTTAAATTTTTAACAAGTTCTTTGGAGAACTTCTAACCATAAAATGAAGGTTTCATAAGGAAACAACAGGTTCTGCTGTACATTTTTTTTTTTTTTTTTTTTTTTTTTTGGTGGAACCGGGGATCGAACTCAGGCCCTTGTGCTTGCCAAGGAAGCGCTTATTCCACTGAGCCATCTCCCTGGCCCCAAAGAGAAAGAGTCGGGACGGGGGCGCGAACCGGCGACCTCATGCTCCGCGGCCCAGTGCCGAGACTGCCGCGCCAGGTCGCCGCCTCACTCTACATTTTTTTTTAAAAAGCATAATACTGAAAGGCAAAGTACAAACTAGAAAAAAATGTTTCCCGCATGTGGCCAGCAGATGTGACATAAACATAAAATGTTTATTTCTCATGAAATAAAAACAGGAAAAGTGAGCCTCTTGTATTAACAAACAAGCATAGGGCTGGGGAGCTAGCTCGGCGGTCTAAGCACCTGCCTGGCCAAGTGCAAGGACCCAGGTTCGGGTACTGCACGCCATGTGGTCACAGAAACCGGGCATGGTGGTGCATGCCTCCCCAGTGCTGTGGAGGCAGAGGCAGGAGGATCACTAGGAGTCCAAGCTGAGAAACTCATTACCAAAAAAAAAAAACCCAAATAAATAAGAAAAAAGATTAAAGAGGGCCGGTGAGATAGCTCAGCAGACTAAAACGGGGCTGAAAACAGGAGGATCACTACAACTCCCAGTGAGACTTGTAGCAAGACCCTGTACCAAATACATAAAAAAAGATTAGAAAAATAAAAATAAGCAAAGAAAAAAATGCAAGCATAGTGTAAATGTCCTGAGGAGGAAAACCAGCTGCTGAGTGCCTAAAGGGGACGCTGTAAGTGGACCAAATAAACACTGACCAAATGGCCAGAGACACTGTGACACCTGCAAGGGCACAGTGCTGCTTCCCGCAGGAACACTGCCTCCACCCGGGACCAGTCCTCAGGGTACCTGGCCAGACCGCATGCAGTGTTCTGGGGGCTGGACAAGTACTCATGGCATGATGGTTACATGTGTAGCCACTGCCAATTAAGCTCAAGATCCTGTGGGAACCAGAGAGAGCCTTCCCAGATGAAAGGCATTCCCCTAAGTGCCCTGCAGCCCTAGTGCTGGAAGAGGGCTCCCGGAGGAAGGCAGTGGTCGGGGTGGAGGGATGGAGACCACTACAAAGCAGACTTGGGCAGGACTTAAACTAACCAACCGGCTTCAATGTTTACTACCCGCCTCAATGCGTCCACAGAGGAGGCTCTGTGACTGGGAGGGCTGGGGCCAAGGGCAGTGAAGCCAGTCCATGCCAGAGGCTACTCTACAGAGCCTGGTGCCCAGATGGGCTCTTGCTCCTTCCAGCTCCTCACTCCTGTGCAGCTCAGCTGGGCAGCCCAGTTCACCTGCAACCTCTTCAGCTGTCCTTCTGGCCTCTTACCCTAGACAGATGACAGGCTGTCACACCCAACTCTGGCCCAGTTGAGGCCAGTTCCAGAGCCAGGGCTGCCCTGCTCTGTTTTCCTGAGCCTGGGCTTCCTGCTGGGCAGCTGCTCCAGTTTCCCCTCTTCCAGGCACCCTTCCTGGGCCCCTCTCTCTCCTCCACCCCGCCCCCATAGGGCATCCTGCACCACTTGGGAAACACTGGGTCCTGCCTGTCTCTCCTCCTCCCCGCACTTACTCAGCCAGCACCTCAGACCTCCCAGGCCCTGGTAGCATGGAGCCCAGGATACCTCCAGAGTACAGAAGAAAGGAAAGGGTTGGAACAAGGAAGTAGGCTGGACAGGTTGGTGTCCTATTGACCCAGGTGACCCAACAGGCAGGCTGGGGAGGGCAGTTGTGGGTGGGGTCCCTGACGACCACATTCCTTCCCTCGGGAGCTCTTTTTTTCTTTTTTAAAGAATTTTGTTTTGTTTATTTACGTATTCATTTTTTTGGCAGAACCAGGGATTGAACTCAGGCGGATTGAACTCAGGCCCTTGCGCTTGCCAGGGAAGCGCTTATTCCACTGAGCCATCTCCCTGGCCCCACCTAGAGAGCTCTTGACAATGAAGGGGATGACCTGCCAGTGAAGTCACAGAGCCCCAAGGTGGCTTCAGGGAAGAGCCCAACCCTGGGTATGAACTTTGACCAGAAGGCTGTGAAATTCCTGGCCAATTTTTACATCAATGGAGGCAAACACTGGACTCATGGCCCTCTGAGACAGAAAAGGTAACTTCAGCAGGCATGGGGGGTGGGATGGGCACAGGCTGGTGCAAGCAGCTAGGTGAATGGGAGGACACCCTGTCTTGTAGGCCGGAGGGGGCCCTGCTGTCCTGGGGGACAGGTGAGATGCGGCCCATCAGCAGGAAGGGGACCCCAGCTGGCCGGAGGTCACGCGTGGGTTCCCCCTGGAGGTGCCCGCCCACCTGCACCAGGACCCAACGGGGGCTGTGTGAGTGAGGGTCCTTGGCTGCACCTTCGCCCAATGAGGGTGGGAGGAGGATAAGGGCAGTCTGGGGGTGCCAGACCCATAGCCTGACCCCCTCACCTCTCTCCCACCCCCGCGCCCCAGTGCTGGAACAGCGCCCTCCACTTCTGGCTGATCCAGATGTGCCTGGCCCGGCCCAGTATGAGCCCAGCGCCTTCGTGCGGGAAAGCTCCCCGCACCCCCACTACAGCATTGGTCGCAGGCACCCCGGCCCAGGTGAGCCCCCGCCTCACTCGGAGGGGCACCCCCTGGGAAACCCCTCTGACCCCCCTGACCTGCAGATGGTGGCGGCCGCAGAGCGTGGCACAGCGCGTGGCTACAGAGCGAGAGCCCCTTCACGCAGAAGGTGGACTTCAACCGCGAGCACCAGGTTGGGGAGGAGGAGCGGGCAAGCGGAGGGGCGGGTGGTTGGGGTCGGGAGCTGCGAACCAGAATGGGAGGGACCTGGGGTGCCCTGGGGGCGGGGTTATGTGGGGAGAAGCGGTGGTGGGGGTGACAGGGAAGGGTGCGGAACAGGTGGGTGAACCTAGGGGACAAGTAGGCTTTCGGGGCCGTCCAGGCCGGGAGCCCCTGTAGCTCTGCCAATGCCCGCAGTGGCCATCGCCCGCAGACCACGTGCCGTCCAGCCTGCCCACCGGCCCGGCTTTCAGCTTCGTTGGCCGTGCGCGCCCGGGTCCTCTCCGCCTCCGGAGCCCCCGCGCGCGCTCCCTCCTGCAGGGACCGCCACGCGTCCCTGGCCAGCAGCGCCCAGGCCCCTCCGCCTACGACGTCCGCCCGGGTTGCCGCCTGCTGAGCCCGCGCCCGCCCGCCTTCTCCATGAGCCGCGCTCCCGCCTTCGTCTCCTGGCTGCGCGCCTGTAAGTAGGGGTGGCTGGGTCGGGCTTGGCGGGGCAGGATTGGGGCGGGGCAGGTGGTTTGCGCCCTCGGGCTTCCAGCCTTCTTTCTCTGCAGCCTGTACACCTGGTCCGGCCGCCTACCACGTGGAGGACTGCTATGACGCGTGCTTCCCCTCCGTGCCCGGGGTGGTCATTCAGGGCGCCCGCAGGCCCAAGCGCCACGACACGGGCCCGTTCTGTGCGCTGTAGGGCCTGACCCTGCTGATCGCCTAGTGGATCCTGGCTTCCCTGGGGTTCTCCCAGGCCTCCCTCTGGACCGTGGGCGTGGCATCCCAAGCGGACCTTCACCCATCCTCCCACTGGGAACCCTGCTATGGACTGGGCAAGGGAAACCCAGCTCAGGGCTCCCCACCTGTCCACCCCCTGGCTCTACTGAGATGCAATTGGTTCTTGGCCCCCGTGTGTGCCCGTCTGATGTCCCAGTCCCGTGTGGTGTCCTGAAGATGCGCCCGATGCTTTCCTGTCGTTTCCCATCTGGGGGGTTCCATTTGGCTGGCCCCACAGCGAGTGCTTTCCTCTAGGGGCCCTGGAGTGGCAGTCTGGGGCTGACCTGGAACTTCTTGGCCTGGGACAGGACAGGCGTGGAAGACACCTTGCTGGCTGTGCCCCCCTAGGGGGATTGGCCCAGATGCCCATCTACCTGAGAGTCAGGCTGCTTGCAGAGCCCAAGACCTAATGCTTGGGGAGGGGGCTGCTGTCTTGTGGGTCAGAGCAGAGCCAGCCAGTCACCAGCGAGGTCCCAGAGGACCAGCTGGTCAAGGCTGGACCATATTTCCTGGGATCTTGACCTGATTGTCCTGCTTGGGCCCTGAGGACCCTAGCCAAGGTTGTACAGGCCAAGTCACAGCCAGGGTGTTGCAGGCAGCCGAGTTAGACAGAAATATAGGCAGTCAGACAGGGCCAGGCCCTCAAAGGAAATACTACAGAAGTTCAGAGATTCTGCAACTACGGGAGCGACGGATGCTCCCGCTGCCGTGGGCCAGACCTGAAGACCAAAGATCAAACAAATGCAGACCTCCCTAAAGACTGGCATCCGAGATTGATCCTCATCCTGAGGGAACCAGAGGAATCATTAATCCGACTACTACTGGATGGCTACCTGATAAAGTCCTGTACTACATTCATGCCTGCTTGCTATGTGACTCACTTCCCCATTTGGTTCTGGACTTAAATTTCACCTGAGCAATGGTGCTTGTAATCCCATTGGTTGGCCATAGTTTTGTCCCACCCCACATCCACCTAAGTGAGTGCCCATGTTCTCCATCACCTTAGACCCACCTCACCACATGGTTTTATTCTATAAAAGTCCCTGGAAGAGACAGCTTCCCTGGGGACAATCCGCTCGCCCCCCTACTTCTGTCCCTGTCTCAGACAGGAGCTTTCTTCCTCTCAATAAATATATTCTGGGGGGGCCAGGGAGATGGCTCAGTAGGTTAAGTGCTTCCCTGGCAAGCACAAGGGCCTGAGTTCAATCCCTGGTTCCACCAAAAATAAATAAATAAATAAATAAATAAATAAATATATTCTGCTCATAACCTCCGTTTGTTCCTAATATTCATTCCTCGGTCTTAGAGAACATGAACTCGTGGAAGTCAGGTCGAGAGATCATTTTTCCCTATGTCGTCTGGAGGTTCCCTATATGGTTTGGAGGTCACCCACCTGAGATCAGTTTTTCTCCCTGTATCAAGGGTGATATAGGGAGAAAGTGATCTCCCGACCAGAGAGGTACCTGGGACACGAGTTCGTGTTCTCTAAAACCAAAGAATGAACTTTAGGAACAAACAGAGGTTCAGAGTAAAATATTTATTGGTAAAGAAAGCATCTGTCTCAGAAAGGACACAGGGAAGCCCCGAGCAGGTTGCCAGGAAGCTCTTTCAGGTTATTTTTATAGGGCAAAACCATGCAGGACTAAGGTGGAAAATATGGGGACTCACTTAGGTGGATCTAGGGTGGGACAAAACTATGATTAACTAATGGGATTACAAGCACCATTGCTCAGGTAAAGTGGATTATGCCTAGGACCAATAGGGATGCGAGTCTTGTAGCAAGCGGGCATGAATATGGGGCAGGGTCTCTTCCTGTTGGGGGTTGGAACGTGGGACAGGATGTCTTTTTTTTTTTTTTTTTTCTTTGGTGGAACTGGGGATTGAACTCAGGCCCTTGCCCTTGCAGGGAAGCACTTATTCCACTGAGCCATCTCCCGAGCCCCAGGGTCTCTTCCTGTTGGGGGCTGGGCTAGTGGCTCTTTTGAGCTCTTTCAAGGTGATTGATACCTGTTTAGAATATCAATCCCTGATGCCCATCCCTGGGGAAGTGTGTGACTGTGCTTCCTCTTTAGTCTTTTTTTTTTTTTTAAATTTTTATTTATGGGCTGGAGAGATGGCTCAGTGGTCTAAAGCACCTACTTGGAACAAGCTTGGCAAAGCACAGGGACCACGGTTCGATCCCCCAGCACCACATGCCAGCCAGCCCCGCCCCCTGGTGGGCTGAGCTGGCCACACACACACACACACTAAATGTTAAAAAAAAATAAAAATAAAATTTTTATGTCATGGCTGAGCTGGCCACACACACACACACACACTAAATGTTAAAAAAAAAAATAAAATTTTTATGTATGTGTGTGGCCAGCTCAGCCCACCAGGGGGCGGGGCTGGCTGGCATGTGGTGCTGGGGGATCGAACCGCGGTCCCTGTGCTTTGCCAAGCTTGTTCCAAGTAGGTGCTTTAGACCACTGAGCCATCTCACCAGCCCCATTCTCTTTTGTCTTGAGGTCTGGCCCACATGGGAGTGTCTGTCTCTTCCAAGTTGTAAAGTCACCGTGCTTTCCATCTTGTCTTCTTGGGGAGGGCCTGGCTCTGGCTGTCTATAATATACTATCTGACTGTCTGTAATATTTTTATCTAACTCGGCTGCCTGTAACAAGGGGACACCATGAGCTATCACGAATCAGCCCCTAACCTGTCTGGAGCAGCAGCCTGGTTGCGGATCCCATTACCATTGCCCTCCTCTTTTACCCACGGGCCACTCCGCAAGGCCCCTCCCCAGCTCAGCTCTGGATATTTTAGCCCAGCTGCCACTAGGTGAAAACACCTGTGTCCTTCAGGACTGCTTCCAGCTGGGCTCAAACTCTCATGCTCCGGAGAGCTGAGCAGGTAAGCTTGCATAGCTGGGAGCCCTGGCTCTGGTCAGTTGGCCCCAGGTGGAACAGGTGTCTGTCCTAGTTATTGGTGCACCACCAGGTGTCCTGGATACCCAAAGCAGGGCTGAGGAGGGAGTGCTTCCTGGTGGAGGGGAGCTGGGAGAGCTTTCAAGGAAGTTAGGAACTTCTAGCAGAGCAAAATCCAGCAGCAGATAGAGGAGGAAAGAGATGTGGTGGTTGATGTGGCTGAGCCTGAGGACACAGGAGGCTTGAGTCCTGGGTCCAGTGCGTACACTCAGAAATAGGACCCAGCTTCCTGTCCTGCCAAAGATGGGGCGCTGTGGATCCTTGATCTGGCTTTTGGCTCAAGGAGGGCCACACAGGTTGGCCTGATGGGCAGATCCTAAAATCTCTGTGAGGGGGCTTGTGGCTGTGTTCCCAAAGGCCAGACCTGCTAAGGTGCCGAGGTGTCCTGCAGGCTTTTAAAAATATATATATTTACTTTTTATGTATTTGGTACAGGGTCTCGTTACGCAGCTCGGACTCAGTGATCCTGCTGTCTCAGCCTCCCCAGCATGCACCACGAAGCCTGGTCCCAGAGGCCAGCTCAGCGCACGCAGGGGCGGGGCGGCGTGCACGTGGTGCCAGGGATGGGCTTTCCTTTTTGAGTTAAGGTCTCATTCAGTAACTTACGCTGGCCTTGAAATCACTGTTCAGCTCAAGTTGGCCTTGAATTGTTGGGGATCTTCCTGCCTCAGCCTTCAGGGTGCTGGAATGCAGTGTGCACCACCGGGGGGGGGGGCTGAAAGCACATTTAGGCTTTAGTCTGTGGCAAGCCTAGGCGTGAGTTTTCTCATTTCAACTGAAGGAAGCCAAGTTCCAGGACGCGTCAAGGTCACACAGTGTCCCCACGCCTGTATCTCGCGCCTGGCAGGACCCAGGTGCAGGGAGCTCGCGGAGTAAAAGTATTCCCAACGTCCAGAGGCTGCTGTGAGATCAGCAGTGGGATTCCTGGTTACAAAAACCCAGAATTTACTTCGCTGAAATGTCAGTTTTGAAATCCCTAACAGCGTGGAGCCCGCCTCTGGGAGACCACACCAGCGCCAAAGCTGCACACCCAGACCTCAGTGGGCGGGGCCGCGCCGACGCCGACGCCGACGCTCGCAGCGTCACTTCGGCACCGCCCTTCGTGGGGTGTCGCTCTGCCTGCTCCGGGTAGCGCGCGTGGTCCGGAACCAGTGTGCCGCGGCAGTGCCGTTTTAGGGGAGTGAGTTGGCAGGAGGACCCAGGCTTGTGCGGGGCGGAAGTGGGCGGGGCGGGCCCGTGCGGAGCCGCCCGCGGGCGCTACCTGGCCGAGCTGGAGGCCGCGGGGGAGCGGGGCTCTGGCGGCCCCCGAGGTCCCGGGGAGCGGGCTTCAGGGCTGTCCGCGGCGGCTCCGGGGGAGCGAAGCGGCGATGGTGCCCCGAGCCAGGCGGCACCTGGGGCCTCGGCCATGTTCGCGGGGCTGCAGGACCTGGGTGTGGCCAATGGCGAGGACCTGAAGGAGACCCTGACCAACTGCACCGAGCCGCTCAAGGCCATCGAGCAGTTCCAGGTGGGTCCCCCACGCGGATGGAGATGCTGGGACCTTCCGGCAGGCGCCCGCTGCGGGATTCGGGGTGCGTTCTGATGTTCGTGGTTTCTGCCGGCGTCACCGGGACATCCGTGGCCTTGGTGCCCGGCGGCGGGCGTTTCAGGACATCCGTGGACTTACCCCTCTGGGTATTCGGGGCTCCCGGGGCGGCTGAGAAATCTCTCGGCAGAACCCACCCACACGGGCGCCTCCGCTTTCTCAGACAGAGAATGGCGTGCTGCTGCCCTCCCTGCAGTCGGCACTGCCCTTCTTGGACCTGCATGGGACGCCACGGCTGGAGTTCCACCAGTCGGTGTTTGATGAGCTGCGGGACAAGTTGCTGGAGCGAGTGTCCGCCATCGCTTCGGAGGGGAAGGCTGAGGAGAGGTAGGTCCCGACCTGCTAGTGCTAGGGGGGCTGAGCAGCCGCTTCCCAGCCTTGGAGCGGCCTGGGCGTTCCTAGGGTTGTGGAGATGAGCCAGGACTCTGTGTACAAAGCCCTCCCAGGTGCCCTGCCTCTGGAGATTCATCCCTTCAGTCGCACAAATCTCTGTAGGTACAAGAAGCTGGAAGACTTGCTGGAGAAGAGCTTTTCCCTGGTCAAAATGCCATCTCTGCAGCCAGTGGTGATGTGCGTCATGAAACATCTGCCAAAGGTCTGAACCTTGGGGTTCATCCTCCCAGGAGGACAGGACCCCTGTGGCCTACCACAGTTTGGCCACCCTGCCCACTTGTTTGCCCAACTGCCTTTGGTTGGCAAAGTCATCCTGCACTGGTGCAGGTAGCTGCTTAGCGTGGTGGAGATTCGGTGAGCTGCCTGCCTAAGTGTGGTTTACTGGGACTTCCTCTGTGCAGCTTGTCCCAGGCTAGGCTCATGGAGACCGGCTGGCACCCTTATGGGGCCCATTCTGGGAGAGCCATGGGCATTAAGCATGTCTAGGGGCCTGCTGGTTAGCTCAGTTGTGTAAGTGCCTGCTTATGCAAGTGCAGCCATGAGTGGGACACTGTGGTTCAAGCCTCAGCTCCACATGCCTTACCAGACCTGCCTTAAGGCAGCCTGAGACAGGAAAAAAAAAAAAAAAATCCTTCTCAACTTTTCACTGGGGAGATAGCTCAGTAGAGTAAGTGCTTGCCAAGGTCCTGAGTTCAATCCCCAGTTCTGAATTAAAATAAATAAATAAAAATCTGATGTCTTCCCTTTGGGGCCAGGGAGATAGCTCAGTGGAATAAGTGCTTGCCTGGCAAGTGCAAGGTCCTGAGTTCAATCCCTGGTACCACAAAACAAAACAAAAAAAAGCATGTCTGTTTGCACCCACTAAGCTCTGGTGGGCTGTACTGGTGCACCCTTAGATGGGTGAGACTCTCCCAGCTAAAGGCCTTGGCTTGTCCTGAGGGGAGGCCAAGGAGGCTGTGATGTTGGTTGTGTAGGTTCCTGAGAAGAAGCTGAAGTTGGTGATGGCTGACAAGGAGCTGTACCGCGCCTGCGCGGTGGAGGTGAAGCGGCAGATCTGGCAGGACAACCAGGCGCTCTTTGGAGATGAAGTGTCCCCACTGCTGAAGCAGTACATCCTGGAGAAGGAGAATGCCCTGTTTAGCGCAGAGCTGTCTGTCCTGCACAACTTCTTCAGCCCTTCGCCCAAGACCAGGCGCCAGGGTGAGGTGAGGGGCCAGGGGCGCTCAGGGCAGAGCTCTTGGAGGCTGCGGGCTGGCCCTTTCCCTGCGGTCCCTCCCCTGCAGTCCCTCCCCTGCGAGGGTGGAAGTTGTTCTCCTGGACTGAGGGCTTCTGCATGTGGCTACAGAGCCGGGTTGCTTCTGAGTTTGTATATGTATTGCTTTTTAGTGAAGCGATACGTGAACAAGGTTAAAATCTACAGGTAGGTCTTTAGTGTTAGTGTACAATGACAGCTGTACCCATTTTAGAAAACAAGCTGGTTCTTAAGCTCTTAGATATAAGTAATTTGTTGTTATGGCTGTGATTGAATTCTTCGTTTTTCATGGTTTAGAACACAGTGTGAATGGGCTGAGGAGATAGCTCATCGGCGTAAGTGCCTGCCTGGCAGGCTCAAAGTCCCAAATTTGACCCTCGATATCCCATGGCCTGCAGGCCCCAGAACCCCAGTGCACCGTGCCTAACTCAGCTGGTGTGGTGGCGCATGCCTGTGATCTCAGCACTAGGGAGGCTGACACAGGATCACTATGAATCTGGATTGCATAGCAAGACCCTGTATCAAGAAAATTAAAACTAAAAAATAAGCACAACAGAGTGAATGGAAGTTTCCATCTACTAATGGCGTTAAACTCAACTTCTTGGGGGGGAAGTGCTTATTCCACTGAGCCATCTCCCTGGTCCCTAAACTCAACTTCTTAGTATTTGAGGTTTTTTTTTTTTTTTTTTTGAGATTTCTTAACTAGCTGACTTTATTTTCATTTTTTTTTTCTTTTTGTTTTTCTTTTTTCTTTTTTTTTTTTTTTTTGTTTGTTTGTTTTTGAGACACGTCTCACTATGTAGCCCAGGCTGGCCTTGAACATGCAGCAGTCCGCCTGCCTTGGCCTTGTGCTGGGTCATAGGCATGCACCACCACTCCTGACCAAATTAGCTAACTTTAGTATCGTCTAGTCAAAAAAAAAAAGTGAGCTATGTGAGTCATTTAAAGTTTCCTTGGTCTGGGGAGATAGCTCAGTAGAATAAGTGCCTGCCTGGTAAGGTCAGGGTCCTGAGATCAATCCCCGATACCAGGAAGGAAAAAAAAAAAAAGTTTCCTCGTACCCATACTGAGGGAAAAGAGTGTAGATGAGCTGGGTAGTGTGGTGCCACTCCTGTGATCCCAGCAAGTGGGCAGGCGGGGATGCAAGCTTGAGTCTAGCCCAGGCAATTTAGTGGGATCTTGTTTTAGTATAAAAATTATAGAAGGGGCTGGGGATGTAGCTCCATGGGAAGGTGTGAAGGCCTTGGGTTTAATCTCTACTACTGGAAAAAAAGAGTAGGTGAGTTCTATTTTAATATCTTCAATGTGTCAAAGATGCTATCTATCTTTTGATGTATATCTGGTGGGAATGATTTGTTGAGCCATAGTGCTTTTATCTGGGAGGTGACAGAGTTTGCAGTATGAGAGCTTTCCATGCTTAGCATGTGCTGTTCCCATACGGCCAGTACCAAAGGGCCACATATGACTGGTGGCTCTGTCTGGGCCTGGGCTGCAGGAGCCAGGGGATCGGCTGATGTCCCAGTGGTGGGGCAGTGCAGCATCCTGTGTCCCTTCTCTGTGCTGTTTATTCTGGTTCTATCTCATCTGTCATACAGACTGGGCCCTTGCTCCTGTGTGAGCTGTGGGGTCCCTGTGACCCCAGCCTCTCTCCCTGTCTGTCTTTCCTTTTTTTTTTTTTTTGTCTTTCCTGATGAGCTGATTCTGCCTGTGAGAGACTCGGTTGTGTTGTCCCTCCCTGCTAGGCTGGCCAGGCCACTATGTTTCCGTATGCTGTTTGTCTGGATAGTGGGGGCACCAGTGTTGTTCCTCCTTTTTTAATGATTGAACTCAGGCCCTTGCACTTGCCAGGGAAGTGCTTATTCTACTGAGCCATCTCCCCGGCCCCCATTCCTCCTTTTTTAAAAACTATTTTTGAAGTCTTAGATTTGAACCCTGGGCCTCAAGAATGCAAGAGAAAGGCTCCCCAGCTCAGGTGCTTCTCCAGCCCTTCCACCCCCAGCTTGCTTGTTCTTCGTTTCACCCTTGTTTATTTGGGGAGAGTCTGTGCTGAGCAGCAGCTCTAATGCTGAGCTGTACCCAGCCCCTCACAGCGATGAGAGCTTTCAGAGTTGAGATACACCCGCTGTTTGTCTTGCTCAGACTTCAGCTGGCTGATGGACTCAGACTTGAGGTGTTGAAGGGTTATCTCACTGTTCTCTGGTGTGCGTTTCTGAAGATGGCTCTGAGGGGCTTTGCTGCCCTGGGCTTTTTTCACAGCCTGATTTTCCATGTCTGGAAGCTTTGCAGTCTGTCCTCAGTGCTCCGTGATGCTGCAGTGCCGTGGCAGGGGGTGCCAGGCCAACACCTGCTCATGGTCCTCGTGGAGGGCAGCTGGGTGGGCCCTGGGTTCTGTCCCTGGCTGACCTATAATGGGGAGCCCCAGACTGCCTCCTTCCTTTGGTTCACATGTAATGTGGGCAGGGCTGTGGTCTGGGTTTCCTGCTGTCATGTTGGAGGTGCCTGATCCCCATGTTGGTGGCTTGGAGCCCTGTGGGCCGTGAGTACAGGTGGGTGTCATCTGCAGTGTGCCTGAGGGAACCTGCGCACCTGAGTGATGGGCACTGTGCAGGGCTCCTGAGGGTGACCAGACCAGGAACTTGGTAGCTCTTGGCAACTTCACCACTGGCTGAGTCCAGCCTGGTGTGTTGGCTTTCTGTAACGCCCACTACCCTGGGCTTGCCTCACGCATCCCTTTGCATGAGGGCCCCAGCCCAGCTAGCTGTGGCCAGTTAGTGGCCAAGGAAGCTTATGCTGGCTGTGGCCTTGCGTCAGGAGCCTGTCGCAAGCGGGACTCTGGCCTGAGCCCCATGTCTGGTAGCTGCACTGACTTGCAGTGAGAGTAGGAGCCCTGGACGGCGATGCCTGTGCTCTGTGGCCCGGAGGAGGTAACAGGGACTCGTGCCTGGGGACAGCCGTCTGCGGGGGGCGGTGCTGGCCAGGGCCTGGGTCCCTGTGGCTGCCGTGTGGCTCCATGCACAGTCTTCCCCCAGGTGGTGCAGAAGCTGACCCAGATGGTAGGGAAGAACGTGAAGCTGTATGACATGGTGCTGCAGTTCCTGCGCACGCTCTTCCTGCGGACCCGGAATGTGCATTACTGTACACTGCGGGCGGAGCTGCTCATGTCCCTGCATGACCTCGATGTGGGTGACATCTGCACTGTGGACCCCTGCCACAAGGTGTGTGTGCCCAGCTCCCATCTTAGGCTCTGCTGCCTGGGCAGCCGCTGACCCCACTGGAGATTCTCTGAGCACCTGGGCCTTGCCCCTCCCCTCACTGCCCCCAGCCTTTCCTCTGTCCCAGGCAGTGCAGGCTGCCCAGCTCCCACTCGTTACTGCCAAAAAGCACTGGGGTGCTCTGAGAAGGGGTGGCAGCCACTCACATTGTCCTACACTGTCCTGCTCTGAGCCTTGCTGCTGATTGGGCTGCGTGCTCACATGTGGGCTGCAAGGAGACCTCCTCCTGGCGCTGCCCTGACCTTGCAGCGCTCTCCCCAGGGAGGACACCCCTGCGTCTCCAAGATGCAGGCTCAAGCTCCTTCAGTCTGTATGTACCCTCCGGACTTGGAGTGGCACTGGGTTACTTGTCAGTGTGTGATAGGTAAGTGACAAGGCAGATAGCGACCTTGGCCTGAGCCAGCCTGACAGTCCCTTGGGCCAGCATGGTGGCCCCCAGGGTGCTGCCATCTTCCTGCCCCCCCTAGGGCCCCTGGCCCCTGGGCCCTGGGCATGGACTGGGCTGTACTCTGGGACGTGCCCATGTCTGTCTTCATTTCTGCTGCCCACAAGCTCGCAGCTCTCCGGGCCCCTGGGCACTGGCCACGTGGAGTGAGTGGGGAGGGCTGCCTCTGGGGGCCCGGGCCTTGCCTGACTCTGTGCCTCTCCCTGCAGTTCACATGGTGCCTGGATGCCTGCATCCGAGAGCGGTTTGTGGACAGCAAGAGAGCCCGGGAACTGCAGGGATTTCTTGATGGTGTAAAGAAGGGGCAGGAGCAGGTTCTGGGGTGAGGACTGACCCAGCCATCAGGGCCCTCATTCCAGGGTGCTTTTTGGAGAGTCTGGTAGCACAGGGACCCCATGTCTCTGTAATGTGGGTCACAGCTCCTTGGGATGTGCAGCTTAGGGGACCTGCTCTGAGCTGAGGTGTGGTCTGGGGAGCCCAGCCTGGTTCCTGGTGCCTGCAGACTGGTTTGTGAACATAGTGTCATGGAGCGTAGCCCTGCCGGGGCTCAGAGCTAGCACTAGCAGGTCTGGGCCAGCTTTTCAGAACCAAAGCCTGACCATATATATGTTCATGTAACTTCCTAACTCTAGCTTGAAAGATGTTAGCCAGTTAAGGATAAATTATGAGCCTTAAGCTTTTCAGTGACAGATATCTGGGATCAAATCTGCTTGCTCTGTGCAGGAGGCTGCTTCCAGGGGCTGTTCCCCTAGGGCTTGGCTGCCCTTCAGCTGGGCCCTGGCATGGGCTGGGCTGTGCTCTGGGACATGCCCATATTTGTCTTCATTTCCGCTGCTCACAAGCCTGTGGCTCTCAGGGCCCCTGGGCACTGGCCACATGGAGTGAGTGGGGAGGGCACGCCAGGGTGTGTGCCAGGGTGGGACAGCCAGACCCCAGCTAATGCTGAGAGCCGTTCTTTCCAGAGACCTGTCCATGATCCTTTGTGACCCCTTCGCCATTAACACGCTGTCACTGAGCACCATCAGGCACCTGCAGGAACTGGTCAGCCAGGAGATGCTGCCCAGGGTGAGTGCAGGCGTGGCTGGGGCACGTGGGGGCTGAGCTTAGCAGCCCTGGCACCCTTCCCAGGGGCAGTGGGTTCCCAGCTGCGTGGTGCACAGGGTCAGTGATGGGCGGCCCATCCCCGGTGAGCTGCTGAGGCCTGTTTCCCCACAGGACAGCCCCGACCTCCTGCTCCTGCTCAGGCTGCTGGCGCTGGGCCAGGGGGCGTGGGACCTCATCGACAGCCAGGTCTTCAAGGAGCCCAAGATGGTATGGATCCAAGTGAGGTTGCCCTACACTCTGTTCCGGGGGTGGGGGGCAGGCAGGCACCTCTGGTCCCACAGTGTCGCCCAAAGGCTTCCTTTTGAAAAACACCCGCTTAGGTTTTGGCTGGCCATGTGATGGTGCCAGGTGGGGGCTCTGGGACACAGTGCTGGGTGGGGGTCCCTGGACCACAGGATCTGGAGGAAGTATGAGGGGTGGCCCTGTGCGGGTAGGCACAGGCTCAGGGGCCCCCCTCCTCAGGAGGTGGAGCTCATCACCAAGTTCCTGCCGATGCTCATGTCCTTTGTGGTGGATGACCACACATTCAATGTGGACCAGAAGCTTCCAGCCGAGGAGAAAGCACCAGTCATGTACCCCAACACGCTTCCTGAGAGCTTTACCAAGTAGGGCCTGGGAGCCGCAGTGGGAATGTGTGGGTGGCTGTTGGGCAGGGCCCGCCATGCCTGCGTCCTGTCCTGTCCTGCCCAGGTTCCTGCAGGAACAGCGCATGGCCTGCGAGGTTGGGCTGTACTACGTCCTGCACATCACCAAGCAGAGGAACAAGAATGCACTGCTGCGCCTGCTGCCGGGGCTGGGTAAGTGCCCTGGCCTCGCCTCGCCTTGCCTCCAGCTCCCAGCTGTTTTCACTGGGAGGCCCGGAGCTGCAGGCTGCAGGAGGAAGAGCCTCTTTGCCTCTGTGGCTGTCACTCTGGACCGTGTGTGGCACATGCAGGTGCTGGCACCCAACTGGGTGCATGGGGGACGGAGAGTACCTCAGGTGGAAACTTCAAGCTAGGAAGAGGCAGAGGGGTCCCACGGGCGCATCAGGGACAGTTGGCCTTGGGAACATCTGTGTCAGCAGGTGACCGGCTCTGGTCTCTGCTCCCTTGGACCGTCCAGGTTGTGTGTAGGTCTTGCCAAGTGTGTTTGATCGTTTCCCAGATTTCTGTATGGAGGAAGCCATCTGTGGATATTAATTTGAACGTTCGGGGCTGCCCTCCAGCTGTGTCCCACATGCTCTCTGGTTCCTGTGCGCATCAGGACTGTTGGAGGCCTGGGCCTGGTTGTGCTTTGGGATTCCAGGAGTGTGGTTAGACATAACTGATTTGCCTTAGTTGGTGGTGCTTCATCTTCCCTCTGCAGGCATCAGTGTCCCAAATCTGTGGTTCTCTGGCCTGGCCTATGTCACTTCAGTCCCATTCAGGAAGGGCTTGATTTTATGGTTGAAGGGATTCTAGTAAGAATGGACATAGATTTTCTGAAGTTTCTTTTATTTACAGTAAGTCCCTGACTTACAAACAGATTTCATTCAGAGGGATGTTTGTAGGTCAGGTTTGTCTGTAAGTCTTGACAGAATGTCTGTAAGTCTTGTCCTTAAGTCTTACGCACCTCTGACACCAATGTACAACATAAAACAAAATACCAGGCACACAGCTCACCTGTGCAGCCAGCTGCGGCGACGTGTGACGGCACCTCAGCTGCCCCTCCCTCTGCTCACGATTCACGTCTGTTTGTCCGGAAGTTCTCAGCTCTGATGCTTGTCGGTCGACACTTACTGCGCGTGGAGTCTCTGAGTTTAATTCATTTCTGGTCATGGCACACTGAGCAGATGGAAAGCTGGGGTTACACTGTGTGGCGCCGGCGCAGGCCCGTGAGTGACGTGGGAGCCTGGCACTGGCACATGCGGCTCTGAACGACGGCTCAGGCATCCTGTGGAGAAAGGCTTCCCAGGACCCACCACAGACCGTGGTCCCTCAGCACCTACCTGTGGGCCCTTCAGGTCATCTCCCTGTGGCCTCAGTGTCACTGTGGAGATGGCACACCAGGGCCTGTGTACCGCCTTTCCTCTTCCATGCTCCGCAGCTGGGCTCTTAGTCTGGGGTGATTTGGAGGCAGCTGTGGGATTCAGGTTCAAAGTGGCTAAGACTCAGACTCCATGGGGGCCTGGGGCTCCTGAAATGTCCAGCCATCACTCCGGCCAGGTGGCATCAGCAGGGTCTACTCTGAGAATAAAATTCTCGTGGGTGTTTCAAGTAGCAGCATCTGTCTATCATCTGTGTCCCTTGTGAAGGGTACAGCTGTGGGGTCCTCCATCCTCTTCCCCTTCCTGCAAGTGATACCTGGTGTCACACAAGCTTCCAGTGCCCTTGGCAGGCCTACCTTGGCGGCTGTGACCTCCCTGCCTATTTGCCCGGGATTTGGAGATGTCCCTGCCCTTGTTCCCTGGGACCACCTGCATGGTGTCCAGAGAACTGTGTCTCCCCGGTGCCTGTGGCTTCTCTCTGGCCTGCCGAGGCTGGGCCCTACTCTGCCAGCAGTTCCACCTCTGCCCACACCCCGGCTGTGGGCATCTTGCTCTGCCAAAGGTCCCAAGCAGTACATCCCCCCCGCCCCCGCAGCCCTGTCCTCACCTCAGACACCTCTGGGGCTGGGAGTGGGCTTGGGGGCGGCCTGGCTGACTGCTGTGTGGTTGCAGTGGAGACCTTCGGTGACCTGGCCTTTAGTGACATCTTCCTCCACTTGCTGACTGGGAGCCTGGCCCTACTGGCTGATGAGTTTGCCCTGGAAGATTTCTGCAGCAGCCTCTTTGAAGGCTTCTTCCTCACTGCCTCACCCAGGTGGGCCGCAGGTGCTGGCTGGCCCAACCTTCCTGAGCTGGACCTCACAGCCTGAGGGCTGTCTAGGCCTAGGTGGGCGGGGCTCTGGGCAGCGGGAGGAGCCTATAAAGGTTGTCACCGAAGGTTGCTGGGCCTGGGGGATGTGTGTCTGTACTTGGGCCTCAGCCCAACATGGCCTTTTCCAGGAAGGAGAATGTGCACCGGCATGTGCTGCGTTTGCTGCTCCACCTGCATGCCAGGGTGGCCCCATCCAAGCTAGAGACCCTGCAGAAGGCCCTGGAGCCTACAGGCCAGGTTGGTGCCCACGCCCTGCTGCCTGCGGCCACCTCTGAGTGCCCTGTTGTGCTGGCCTCAGCAGCGTGCGCGTTGACCTGTGTGACCTGCTCCTGTGTAACGTGGGACACCTGGCTGTGCCCACAGAGCGGAGAGGCTGTGAAGGAGCTCTACTCGCAGCTTGGGGAGAAACTGGAGCAGCTGGACCACAGGAAGGCCAGCCCTGCACAGGCTGCCGAGACGCCCGCGCTGGAGCTGCCCCTCCCCAGCGTGCCTGCCCCGGCGGGGCTGTAGGTCTAGGCTCCGTGGGAGCTGCGCCTCAGGGATGCAGTCCCAGCAGCCAGGGCCCGACTCTGTCCACCTGGAGCTGGTCCTGGCCTTTGCCGCCCACCGTGGCACCTGCTCGCTGACCTGGGCCCGGCGCTCTGGCCTAGGCTGTGCGACTTTCGCTGACCTTGAGGAGAAGGATGTGAGGATTCAGGGAGGGTGGGTGTGGATGCTGTACTGGCCAGAGCAGGGGCTGGGGCCACAGTGTTCACAGGCTGGAGGGGCCCTGGGCAGCAGCCTTGTGTGCACTGTCCCTGCAGCCCTGCCTCAGTTTACTCACTGACAGCTGCTTGCTCAGCTGCAGTGCGATCCTGTGTGGGGTGGTGAATGGGTGCAGGAAGGTCTCTTGTGTGTAAATAAAAGACATTTTGGTAAATCCTGGTGTCTGTGCTAGTGTAGGGGTGGGGCAGCCAGCAGTGGCCTCTGGTGTTCTTGGCCTGACCAAGTCTGCTTCCTGCCTCCCGTGCTGCTGGACCCTGCATGGAGGCCCCAGCACTGGGCAGCTGAGGGTCCCAGAGCTGGACAGACTGGCTGGCTGGTCTTTGATTGGGGTCTGGCTGAGCAATGCACGTCCCTGACAGGACGTAAGGCCCAGGCACAGTGCTGCCAGGTCGGAGCCTGCAGACCTCACAGCTGGGCAGCACTTCCAAGTTGCTTCTTGTGGCCTCCAAGGCTGAGCTGGGCCAGCTTCAGGGGTGGCAGTCTCCCCCCACCCCCCGCAGCAGTTTCCACCTCCTCTTGCCTCATGAAGGCAGAGCCTAGGGATGTTCACACCACAACCCAGCCACAGCAGCGCCCACAAAACTGAGGAAGCATGCTTAGCAGCGTAAGATGGCAGGTGCAGGACGGAAGTGGGGTGGGGGTTAGGGGGAGCTTGGGTCCAGGAGCACCTGCGGGAATGACAGGCGAGTAGGGCGCGGTGTCAGCCAGCCAGGGGCTGGGGGCCCCAAGCAGACCTTCAGGGAGGAGGGCAGCCTGGTGGTGTGGACAGGGGCCTCTGTGGTATAACATTTCCCTAGGTCACTCCTGGAGCAAGGAAGGAGAGAGCTGGGCCCCAGGGAGGACAGGGAAGATCCACTGCAGAATGAAAAGATGTGTACTGGGGAGGTCATGGCAGTGTGAGGTCCCACCTGTGGTCCCAGGACAGACAGCTGGTTTGTTCAGGGTACTGCCAGAGCATGCAGGGGCCACAACAGCAGTGGGGAGGGGTCAGCCAAACCTGCAAATGGGGTGTGAGGAGAGGAAGGAGGTGGGCCTGAGGGAGGCACATGGTCACTGGGGTAGGCCCAGGCCCCAGGGTGCATCCAACCATCCGTGTACAAGGGTGACCCCAAGGAGGAAAGTGGAGATGGACTGAAGGCAACATCCCCTGTTGACTGATTTGGTGGGGGTGGCCCAAGGAAACTCCTGGGGTATTAGGGAGTCCTGTGAGGGAAAGAGAGTGCTGCCTTCCTCCAGGCCACCTTGGTGGCTCAGCCCTGCAGTATGAATCCCATGTGTAGGGCAGCTGCGGCTGGTTGGTGGGCAGACAGGGTTGGACGAATATGCTGGGGCTGACATGCAGGCTTCACTCTGGGTGAGAATGCAGGGCCTGGGCATGTTGGCCCCGCAGGGCTGATGCATCGGTCTGCTGCAGGAGTCCCTTCCTGACCCTAGTGTGGGCTCTGGGCCACCACAGGCGCGGCCATAGCTCCTTGTAGAAGCCACTGACTAGCATCACACCCCCCGCAGACAGGGCTCTTCCCTACTGAAGGCTCCTGTCTCCCGTTTCTGCCCCTGCATCAGTGCAAATGTGGAGGCCAGAGGGGCCTGGGCCCTGAGGACCCCTCTCCCACCTCAGAGCCCAGACAGCCTCCTATAGCAGGAGGCCAGGTGTGTGTGTGTGTGGGGGGGGGGTCAGGGCAGGCCAGGCTGGGGGCCCTGGAGCCAGGGACACAGGACTGCCCGGGCCTGTGCTCAGTGGCAGATGGGTTCAGCCTGGCAAGAATAGCAGAAGGAGATGCCCGAGATGGCTTCCCCAAGGAAGGGGACGTGGGCTAGGAGGCCGAAGCTTCTATCTTTTCCCTTGTGCCCAAGTTCCTCCCAAATTTGCCCAGCTGCCACAGGGACACAACCTTGAGTGCAGGGTGGGGGCCGCTACCCCCTGGGTTCTAAACCTTCTGACCCAGTGTGTCCTGTTTTGAAGGGTCCAGGGTGGTGGGGAAAGGAATGGGGCCATGTGTGCGTGCGTGCGTGCGTGCGTGCGCGCGCCAAGGGATGGAGAGAAAGGTCAGGCTGGGGTCAGGGCACCCAGCTGAACACAGGAACCTGACCGCGCAGTGGGCCCTGCAAGGGGGGAGGAGGCCAAGTCCTGGCCTTGCTCGCTGGGCTCAGCGCAGGGAGCGCAGGCAAGCAGGGAGGGCGCCTGCTGGTACTTCACCTCACCAGACGTCCTGTAGTAGCCGGAAGCTGAGGAGGGGGCAACCAGCCAGAGAGGGGACCCTGGCTGACAGCCAGACCTGGCCTGACGCCTTGGTCCAGCCCAAGTCCCGCCCGGCTGCACCCCTGACTCACTTCCTCTGCGGGAAGCGGAAACCTCCCTAGAGCTTCCTCTGCCAGGGACTCTCCCTGGGGACCCGCAGGTGTCGCTGCCCCTGGGCCTGCGCCAACCGCTGGCCCCTGACCCACCCACCGCACCCCGGAGCCGGCATTTCCTGCTTCCTGCGCCGTGGCAGCTGTGCAGGGGGTGCGGAGCTGGAGAGCACGCAGCTGTAGGTAGGGGCTGGGGACAGGGATCTGTCCCTCCGCCTGACTTTTTCTTCTCTTTCTCCATCCGACCTCTGCCGGCCGTGGGGCTCCCCACCGCAGCTGTAGTGTGTGTGTGGGTTGTTGGTAGCACCCCAGTTTTAGGCTTGGGGCTGGGAGGCCTGGCTGAGACTAGTGCGCATTCACAGAGCTTCGAAAGCCTCCCAACCTCCAAGTGTATGGTACCTTTCTGAGCCTCCGGGGGCGTCTGGGATCTCTATAACCCGACTCCCCTTGAGCAGCCCAGTAGGACCCTTGGCCGGGAGAATCCGCCTGACCCTGCTTCCTGGTGCGGGGCGCCGGCTGGCCGAACCGGGACTCCTCCTCCAGGAAGCCAGGGGCCTCCGATAGTTGCAGCTCCCCGCCCCTTCTCCTGGCCGAGGCCTCTAGGGCGCACCCGTAGGATTTGCATTGTGCGGCCGTGGCTTCCTGGTCAGCGGGCGAGGTGGAGCCGGGCCGCACCCCACGGGCCCCGGATGAGGGTGCCCGTGGCTGGAGTCGGCGAACTCCCCTTCTTCCTTGCAGGGAGGGCGACCTGCATGCAGAACGCCGCCCCCTCACCATGGACCGGGAGCCCGCTAACCCAGCGCCCCGAGCCCCGGGCCCCTACGTGATAGCGCCCGTGCGAGCCGTGCTCCGCCTGCGCCGCCGTGTGTTCGTCCTGCGCAAGCGCAGCCTCCTGCAGCCGGGCTTGGGGTCGGACGAGGGGCTCGGAGCTCCCAGGCCAGGCTGCGGCCCTGGAGCACTGCGCGCAGACCTGGCACAGCCCAAGTTCTTTACCTTCGATGGTCCGGCAGAGCTGGCGCCCCGGACACCCCGCAAGAGGCGGCGGCGCAGCCGCGTGGTGCTCTACCCCGAGGCGTCGCGCAGGTGCCGGCCGCGTGCAGAGCGCCAGAGCCGCGCGCAGCGCTGTTTGCTGCTGCTCGTGGCCATCGTGGGTTTCCAGGTGTTGAACGCCATCGAGAACCTGGACGACAACGCACAGCGTTACGACCTCGACGGGCTAGAGAAGGCATTGCAGCGTGCGGTATTCGGGCAGCCTGCCGCCGTGAGCCGCATCGTGGCGCTGCTGAGGGACTACCTGGCCACACACGTGCACAGCCGCCCGCTGCTTCTAGCGCTGCATGGGCCTAGTGGCGTGGGCAAGAGCCACGTGGGCCGCCTGCTGGTGCGTCACTTCCGCGCAGTGCTGGAGGACGGTGCGCTCGTGCTGCAGTACCATGCACGGCACCACTGCCCGGAGCTGCACGCCGCGCAGGGCTGCCGCGAGGAGCTGGCGCGCAGGGTGGCTGCTGTGGTGGCGCAGGCGGAGGCTGAGGAGAAGACACCGCTTGTGGTGCTGGACGAGGCAGAGCGCCTGCCGCCGGCTCTGCTGGATGAGTTGCATGGTCTCCTGCAGCCACATCGCGCACATCACTTTCACAACGCCATCTACGTGCTGCTGAGTGGCGCGGGCGGTGCCGAGGTCACACGCTTTGTGCTGCAGAATGCGACACGTGCCCTGGCCCCAGGCCCCGACGGCACTGCAGCTGAAGAAGAGCTGCGCGTACGCCTCCATGCACACCTGGTGCGCGCGCACCCGCTGTGGAGCTCCGCAGCCATCGTGCCCTTCTTGCTGCTGGACAAGCGGGACGTGGTTAGCTGCTTCCGGGACGAGATGGCCGGGGAGGGCTTCTTTCCTGAGCAGGCTCGCGCTGAGCAGCTGGCCGAGCAGCTCAGCTACTACCAGGTCGCGGGCCGTGAGTTTGCTGTAACGGGCTGCAAGCAGGTGGTGGCCACGGTGAACCTCTTGTAGCCCAGGTGCCAGCTCCGATAGGGGCCGTGAGCTGTGGCCAGGGCTGTGTCACCTGAGGAGTTCACGAGTGGGCAGGGGTGGCAGGGCTCCAAGCAATAGAGTCCCACTTCTACCTTCACGCAAAGCTCCTGGAGCATCCCTGGGGCCACAGGCAGCCCACCTTCCTGTGTTTGATCCCATTCAGGCTCCTGTGATTGGTTCCCACCACTACAGGAGGTGGGCAGCCTGCTTCCCTGGTAGGTCCAGAGTGCCTGTCCATAAGCCCAGGGCCTCCCTGGAGTGCAGTAGGAAGGTTGGGTGTCTCCAGCCCCAGAGTGGAGCTAGGGGACTCACCTAGTGCTCTGGAAGTGCCGTACAGTGGTAGGAGTGGGCCTGAGTGGGGAGCCCCGACTTACTGGGGGAGATCCAGCTCGTACCACCCTGGCTCCTGTGCTGTCACAGGAGAGTGGTCAGGGGTGCAGGGCACATGTGCCTGGCTGTGGGCCGGTTGCACAGCTATCTCCAGCACTGTGGCCTTTGCTGCCAAAGCTGCCTTGCCTAAACAGTTCCTAAGGGCTCACCCTTTGCTCCTGGGAAGCTTTCTGGCTCCTCCCACAGCATGAGTTTAGAGGAAGAGGTTTTTGCTTTTGTTTTTTAATGTATTTAGTACAGGGTCTCACTATACAGATGGGACTTGTAGTGATCCTCCTGTTTTCAGCCTCCCAAACACTGGGATTACAGGCGCAGTTCACCACATCCAGTCTCAGTCGCTGTCTCAGTGCCCCAGGGGTTGGGACTGGCACAGACAGCATGCCAGGGATCAAACCCGAGTCCCTGATCATGCCTAAGCAGGTGTTTTAGTCCACTGAGCTATCTGGCCAGCCCAGAGTAAGGGTTTTGACTCACCCTGGTGCCACAGTGCCCAGCTTCAGCCTGGCCCTGCAGGAGAGTGGCACAGCTGGTGGATGCCACCTATGAGAATGGAAACCTGCTTGGGCAAGGGGTGGCAACACTGCCTGAGAGTGAGGCCTGAGCTGTGTGCATCCCTGGTTTGAGCCCCCTCTGCTGGAGACACAGAGCCAGTGTCTCTTGAGGGGCTCACTAGCCAGCGCCCCCCAGTGGGCCTTTCACGTCCCCACTCAGGCCTGCTCATTGTTGGTTGGGGTCTCCAGTCCAGATCTGGGCAGACCCAGCAGTACCCCACTGAGCCTGGCATAGCTCCTGGCCTGAGAAGGGTCAGGAGCCTCTTCCCTGGGGCTGTGGTGCAGGGTGGGGTGGGGCTGGGGGTGGAAATCTTCACCCCTTGGGCCAGCCCCACCTTGTCCAGCCTGGGTGGGGGGTTTGGCTCTGCACCAGACAGACCTTGTGTCCATGCTCCAGGATGTGATGTTGAGGTCCTCACCGCTCCCCAAGAGGGTCCCCCAGGACTGCCCCTACCCAGCACAGCCCTGGCCTGGAGGTGTCACCTTTCCAGGCAGGCAGGTTGTATGTTTTCTGTCCAACCCACAGCACTCATGGGTCTCTGCTGAGACTTATGTGGGATTTTATTTATTCCTGAACTGTTCTATAGAAGTAGATTTTTGTGCTTCATAGGATGTGCACTTGGCACAGAGAGCTGGTTGTATCACACTTGTTAATAAACAATGTGGCTCAAATCCAACAGCCTGCTTGTTTGTCTTGGTTTTGTCTGTTTGACCTAATAATGAGAAAGGCATGCTGAAGTATCCCCACCTATTGGTAGATTTATCAGGATCTCTACACCTTCACGTGAATAGGCCGTACTAATTTGGCATTTAAGTTTTTCATTTTTGAGAAACACCTGGAGATAGAAACGGTGCAGCCCTGGCGCGCTGATGGCAAGGGCAGGCGAGGGCACTCCCGGGTCAGGCAGCTCAGTCAGATTACCATCGCTCCACAGAACACCCACACCCGGACTTCTGGCAGGGGAGGGTCGCTTAGTGCTTAGGGTTCTGCTGGCTTCAGTCCCTGGTAGGTTGCTTCAGGCAACAGAATGGTGGGATGGCCTGGCAGAGCAAAGCTGCTCCTCTCATACCAGTCAGGAAGCAGAGCGCAGGGAAGAGCCCCAGAGGACAGGGCGAGGACCAGAGGGAGGTCCTGGCCTTGCGCCTGTTGGCTCAGCCAGACACCTCTAGCGGTGTGCTGTACCCGTCTAGTTATCTCTTAAGCCCTGTTGATAGCTGACACTAAATCCTGCAGCAACTAAGAAAGGATTTTCCTTTTCGTCCTGAGTGCTATGGGTGGACTCCTGGGGCTGGCCAGTCAGAGCGCCTAAGTGACAATCTCCTTGACATCTCCATGTATCTATCTGTCACCTGTGGTTGTCCTTGTCTCAGAGCAACTTTTTCTTAGTCTGTTTTGGCTCAGGGTAATGAAGCGGTGAGTGTCTGGGATTTACTCTTCTTCTAAAAAGCAAGAAGTTGGCTTTTCAACAAATCAAACTTGACAATCCTAGTCCCTGAGTTACATTTATTGTAACTACTGCTAGATCACGTGACTTGAGGCTGTACCTTTCAGTGGTCCTGCTTTATACCTTCTTGGCCCAACGTCCTGGGGGCTGAATCTACAGTGTTCATACTGAGCCCCACCCCAGCCCTTTTTTGGGGGGGCAGAACTGGAGATTGAACTCAGGCTCTTTTTTAAAAAAATTTTTTTTATTTATGTGTGTGTGGCCAGCTCAGCCCACCAGGAGGCGGGGCTGGCTGGCATGTGGTGCTGGGGGATCGAACTGTGGTCCCTGTGCTTTGCCAAGCTTGTTCCAAGTAGGTGCTTTAGACCACTGAGCCATCTCACCAGCCCCTGAACTGAGGCTCTTGCGCTTGCCAGGGAAGTGCATATTCCACTGAGCCATCTCCCTGGCCCCGCCCTTTTGATTTATTTACTTATTTTTTTTTAAAGATTTATTTGGTACAGGGTCTTGCTATACAGCTTGGACTCATAGTGATCCTCCTGTGTCAGCTTCTGCAGCGGTGGGATTATAAGCATGCACCACCATGCCTGGTTTTGGTAGCCAGCTTGGCATGGGGTTGGCATGGCATGTGGTACTGGGGATCGAACCTAGGCAGGCTTGCGCTTGCCAGGAAGGTGCTTAGACCGCTGAGCTATCTCCTTGGCCTTCTTTTGATTTATTTTGAGACAGGGCTTACTAGGTTGCCCAGGCTTGGCTCAAATTTGAAATCCTCCTGCCTCAGCCTCCTGGGTAGCTGGGATTACATGTGTGTGACATGTGCATGACTCTTTTTTCTTTCTTTTCTTGGCAGCTTCCTATACCCTGCCACCCCCACCGTAGTGTGTCACTTTGCTAACTATAATGGACTTTTCATGTGAACATGTCACCTACCTGTCACCCACACCCGGATGGTACAGAGCCTACCTCCTTGCTTAATGGCAATGTTTCAATCCCTTCCTTTTCTCTAAACCCACATAGCAGACGTTGTTGTTCTACTTCATTTTTACTGATTTCATGTTTTTGTGGAGTGGGTTTAGGTACGAAACGGCTGTCTCCATTTCGGACATCCTGTGGCTTCGGTTCTGTTAGATCCCGCGAGGGCCGGTGTGGGTTTGTGGATGCTAACCCACTGTTCGCCCGTCAGTCTGCCATCCCGATACCAATGGACACCTTTGGCTCCACAGCTCTGTATTGGGGACCCTGAGACCCGGCAGGGATCCCACTGTGACACTTCACCAAGTGTCTTCCACAGGTGACTGAGGGGGCACTGGATGCGGCCTGCATGGGTGCCTAACTCTCCCCAGACTCCTGGGTGAGCCGCGGTGGGAGGTGGGCCCAAGAGCTGACTGGATCCTGGTCCTGGCTGAAGAGGCAGCGGGTGGGGGCGGGGAGGGGTCAGTGCGGGAGCCGGCCGCCTGGGGTCTTTCCGTGTGTGTGTGTGTGTGTGTGTGTGTGTGTGTGTGTGTGTCTGTCTGTCTGTCTGTCTGTCTGTTTTCTTTTGGGGGGGCGGAACCGGGTGTCTCCCCTTTCCTGGCTGCCTGAGGGGCGCGGCTTTCCTCTTGCAGCCCCACCGAGCGAGACATGCTGTCCACAGCACCCACGGAGTGGAGCCAGTCTGCCGCGCACTGAAACCTGAACCACGGGCGGCGCAACCTCTCCGCCTCTGTTCAGGGGTTTGGTCAGAGGGACTTAAAGACAATCAGTACACTGCCTTCATTCTTGAAGAATCTCTGAGATGTCTGTAGGCCTTTTCTCTGAGGACTCCACGTTGCCAAATTCTTTGGTAAACCTTGTGAGATGCACTTAGAATTTCACCGGTTATTTGGGACCATGGATGCCTCCGCGCTATCAGTTATTTGGGATTCACTCACTGTTTGCCGCATCGTGGCTTAGCTGCCTCCTTCTGTAAAAGCTCCGTCCTGCCCAGTCTTGCTGTACCCCTGCCCCAACCCTGTGCCTGTGCACGCACCTGCTTCCTGTTGCTTTCCTTCGCTGGTTTGATTTTTTGAGACAGGACCTTGCTCTGTAGTTTAGGCTAATCTTGAACTGCCCCAGCTGGCCTTGAACGTAAGGCCTGCTCTTGCCTCAGCCTCATAGGCACTAGGATTACAGTTGTGTGCCGTCACATCTGGCTGTGGCTTTTAACCCTACTGCCAAGTGCTTCTCAGCTGTGCCTGGGTTGGATTTGACTGAGTCGTGGGGCTGCAGCTTGCCCAGGCAGGCCCTGTCTCTGTCCTCAACACCCTTCTGTCCTGAGCAGCCATCTCCCCTCTTGGTCTCTCCATCCTACCATGCTGATCAGCACCATGGTATTGACCACTGAGTTTTGCAGCTGAGTAGCTGATTTTTTTTTTCTTTTTTTATGACACAAGGTCTTTTCTTTTTTCTTTTTCTTTTTTTTTTTTGGCGGAACCGGGGATTGACCTCAGGCCCTTGTGCTTGCCGGGGAAGTGCTTATTCCACTGAGCCATCTCCCCGGCTCCGACACAGGGTCTCGATATGCAGCTCAGACTTGTAGCTCTTAGTGACTCTCCTGTCTCAGCCTCCCCAGCTCTGGGATTACAGGTGTGCCCCATGGGGCTGGCACAGCACTCCTGGGGTTCTGGGGCCAGCACAGCATGGCATACCAGGGATCAAATCTGGGTCCTTGTGCTTGCCAGGCAGGCACTTATGCCGCCAAACCATCTCCCCAGCCATTGATGACAGTAATCTTGTTCAACACTGTTTTGACCAGTCTGGGCCCTGGTCTTTCTGTGTAAATGTTCAGATTGGGCTGACAGTTTCTGGGACAAGACAAAGATGTCCAGGTATTGGCACGGGCTGGCTCCAGAGGTGAGTCTGGGGGTAAAGAACTGCTGGGCTCACACCGCTGAGCTCTTTGATCCACGGCTGGGGCTCTTCTGCTCAGCTGTCAAATGACTCTAAGCTTGAGCTTCCCAGTACCAGACGGCAAAGTTTAGAATCTGCTCAGTGTGTCGCTGTGCTTCACCATGGAGCCGAGAATCCAAGCTGAGAAGCCACAGGGTGCAGGAGTGGCGTGCTGCTGCGCCGTGGCCACAGTGTTGGCGACCCCACAGTGGAGCCGAGAGGAAGTTTGAGAACTCCAGGAGACTGCAAGAAAGAAATCACCACAAAATGTGTGAAAGTCCTAGAAAGATAAGTCAATTCTGGGGCCTCAGAACCAATTATTTGGTTTTCCCTTATTTCTTATGGAAAAAAAAATACGTTCAATTCTCAAACTTTGTAGTTT